CAAAGGTCATTTAGGTCAGGTTCATGAAATTTTCAGGGTAGGTGTAAAATTGATCAATGCGATGGTAATGAAAGTGTCGTCGCGATCGGCAGCTTTTTACGCGAGTTATTTGCGAAAAACCTTAGGGGGATGCATCAACACCCCTGTGCCGGCGAGGGTTAAGTTTTGAGCAAGTCGAACCAGATAAAAAAAAAACAAAGTGTCATCGAGATCCACTCGTCAGTCCGCATCGAGATACCATATATGCTAATGTTTATATATATATGTGTTGACCTCGAACGGTCAACGTTAAGTCGACCTCAGACCATGCGTACTTCGATGCGTCTTGGCGAGCTGAAAAAAGTGAGACCATTTTTGCGGCTGTACTTCTTTTCTGTTATAAGTTAGAAGCAAAAAAATGGTAAAATACCTGTTGGCTTCCTTCCTTCAGGAAATCACAAAATCTCACGAATGATCGTCATCAATATCAATATTTACCCGAGCCAAATGACAAAACTGCTTTGAAAATATTCAATCTCTCAGCTGAGGAAAGCTCTCTTTTTGCGTTTTTCTAAATTGATGTAGTCCTGGTGATGGACATAATCGGGTGTCGCTGTTGCTCCCCGCCACACCATCGTAAAATTGGCCGTCAGTTGTGTCCCCTCCCCACCATTCCAGCCGATCACGGGTCAGGAGCACGGCGTCCTTCAGAGCGGTCGGGGGCCGAGCTTCCGCCGCCTCCTGCACGGCGACGGGGCATCCTTCCGCGGCGTCACCGAGCTCCTGTCAACTGCATGGTGGTGACACCTGGATAGGTCAATACCTGAACCAGGGCGACAACTAGTTCTATTCGGGGGAAATGCGGTCGGTCCGCGGGTCTCACTGATGCCTCGTCCACCGTAACACCACCCGCTTTCCATCCCAAATGCATCACCAGACTGGTATACAGTACCATCTTACGCCGTTTTCGAGCACAGTGCTGCAACTGCCCCTTACAACCCTAAAGCGATGGATTCATCTTGGCTCACGTCCTGGGCTCTTACCTGCGTCACGAGACGTATACCGCGCTGCGTCACCTTCAGTTTTGTTGTCACGCTACCTGGTCCTTTCTTCTCCGCGAGGCACCGGCATATCCTTATCCCTCGCTTTGGTGCAATCGTATCTCAGCCCTTCGCTTTGCTGTTGTACTCGCATGATCTTGTTTGCAGCCTGATCCATTCCCGTGCTAAGGACATTTGCCCTTTAGTTATGTATAGGTATATCCCCCGTTGCGACCCCTCCCTCTCCTGCAGTCTGAGGTCAGCTTAATCTCGCCCCCTCCCTCCCCCACCTGGTTCACCGCACTCTGTACCCCACCCACACCCTCCCTCCAGCTCTATACCGGCAGCCTGTCCTCAGGAATGTATTGAGCGTGTCCGGGGTGGTGGCTGATATCAGTCGTCACGCTGCATTAACAATCGCCCCCCAGGGACAGTGTCGAATGCCACTCATTCCGGGAGCTGAGGTCAGTCCGGTCAGCTCGGTCATTCCATCATTTCCCGGAGGCTACCGGATTTTGCCACGGTCAACGCTCGAGACACGTCTGGTAACAGAGAACGTGGTAAATTGTGGTGACAAAATCATTGCCGGAAAGGAAACTGTGACCAAGGATACCACACTATTTGTCCCGACTATTTTAGGCAAGGGATCAACCATATTCAATAGGCTCAAAAGAGAAAGACTAACGGGATGATATGTAGTTAAACCAATTATTGCGGCGCTGCGCAAATCTCTTCCATATCTTGATAGACATCAACTGCGAATATCCATTCCATCCCCATCCGTGAGCGAATCAAATATATTTGGGTAAAAAACATACCATATCAGCTCGCATTGATTTCAATCGGAATGGATTTTTGCCGTAAAATGAAGTTTGAAGATACCAATCATTAGCAGCATGCATTTTTGGTTAACCACGCCCACCAACCAGAGGTCGGAACACCCCCTTCCCCGCAGCCCAAATAATTTGAGCACAATTTCGATTTCGCGTCCAATGTCACTGTCATGAGCTGCGCCCTACACGATCGCGTGATGAGGAGGGCGGGGTAGCGGTGGGGGGGGGGTCAGGATGGGGAGGGGAGGGGCACCCGTGGCCTGTTGACCGGCGTCCAAGGCGACACCCCTCTGTGCTCGGAGGTCGATAAGTCGGTCAAATCGTCCGTCGATCGCCGCGAGGGCTGCGGCGCCCCAGGACGGCGTTTACCGCGCGCGGAGAACTAATGGCCGGCGACGCACTATGGTTGGAAACGGCCTCACGGATGGCCGGGGGTCAACGCGAAAAAATGTTTTGCCCATAACTTGTTAATGCGTAGACCGACTGCGATGAAACTTTGCATAGGCATACCAGTGTCTTTCGTGCATCATACAGTAACTCAGAAATGACGAGGTCACGTCACGTCACGCGTGTGTGACGTCATCATTGCAAGTATGTCATAAGTCGCCTATGTCTTTCGTTATGTTATCGATATCGCGAGGCATTTTGAACATGTTTTGAATACTGCTATTACTGAATGGATATTGTTGTTATGCTTTAGGGCGAGAAATATCAACGTAGTGACGCACAGTGTCTTACTATTGGTCATAAAGGGTTAAAAATTTGGAGAAAGAGTATAGTATGATTTTTTTTTTAGATTGGGCAAAAAAGTAAGAAATAAAATGACGATCAAATGACAAAACATGCGTCAGATTAACCCGGCAGTTGCTGGGGTATTTCCCCATCCGCCGTTTACCGGGGGGGGGGGCGTTCAACGCCCCCAGCCGATAACTCGCGAACAAATAGGCGCAGCGAAACGCACGAGGCGCGGCAAACGAAAGAAGAACGCGACGAGACGATTCACATGAATACTTTAAAGCTGAATTTCGAGGTCACAGGTCGGGTCAAGGTCAGGTCAAACACTTGAAATCGGGCTTTCAGTAGCATGGACTTTAGAACCTCGCAATCGGTGCCTCACGTTTCGCGTTTCGATTATATCGTCATCAGTTGGTCCTAAATAAATTCAGTCATCAGTTGGTCCTAAACAATCTGTCACAACTGTCACAACTGTCACAACCCTTCATATAAGTGCTAAAAGAGTGTCAGATCAATGTAGGGGTCAGTCAAGCATAGGCCACTGGCCAGGGTCAAAGTCAGGTCAATCAGGTAAGCACATAACCCCGAAAATTAAAACTGGTACCTATTCGCAGCCCATGCATGACACATGTTTTATGTGTACTTTTGGGCGTAGAACACGATGGTGACATTCATTTTATCATACGAGTACGTGGCTGGTTGAAAAAAAGATCAATTTCAGAAATGCATGCGTCATGGTCGTGAAGTAGTCACGAGAAATTGCCAACATTCAGTTCAAGATTTTGGAAAATGTAGAACGATGATCAAAAACCATAGATAGCCATTTGATTTGCCATGGTATTGGCAGTGTCATGGAGTTTACAGCATGTCTGTATGTCTGTTCTGTCAGTGGATATCCATATCCATACTCCAGGATATCCATACACGTTTGCACGATATTCATACTCCAGGTGCAGGGGCGAGCAGTTACTTCTTACGAGGGGTGCGGAGTCGAAGTCAGAGTCGGAGTCAGAGTCGGAGTCGGAGTCAGAGTCGCCCAGAGTCGTGGCAGCGAGCCAGGAGTCGGAGTCGGAGTCGGGGTCGGTCAGGAGCCCGCAGTGGAAGTCGCAGTCGGTCCGAATCGGAACAGCTCCATCGCGACTCCGAAACACTGGCAGGGGTCCGGAGTCGGAGACAGAGTCGGCCGGAGTCATGGCAACGAGTCAGGAGTCGGAGTCGTAGTTGGAGTCGGATTTGGCGCCACCACGACTCCGCAACCCTGCTTCTTACCATCATTTATAAGGATAAGCGATTGCAAGACTGACGAGCCGACCTGGTGCTAACGAAGCGACGGGTAGGTACGCCTCGGGAGATGAAGCTTCACGGACGATTTTGCGCACAAGTGCGCAGTCTGCTTTTACGTTCCCCTTACGCAGAATTGAACAGAGATTTATTCTGCCAAAAAGCTCAATGGAGGTCGATGGAGAACTTTTTGTATGTCCAATGAAACATAAACGCAATTTTGCAAATATTGCTGTGGTGACACTGCAAACAGAATGCAATGCCGTTCCTGATTTTGAACACGCATGGAAAAAAGAGTCACTCCACTCGATAGCCAACATAACAAGGATTATTTTGATATATAATAATCCAGTTTTACAACGTCATGGAGGTACTCCACATGCTATCACCAGCGCGGTTGTTAAAACCTTTGACGGCGCACCAAAAAAGTCACTGTCAGAAACTCCCGATTCCACGTACAATAATGGAGACTAAATGCGCAACTAAATAATTTTTTCTTCCCAATTCAAAACATTTCATCAATTTCCAACAGAATGACACCCCAAATATACATATATTCCGAAATTGCCCACGGCCATCCGTGAGGCCGTTTCCAACCATAGTGCGACGGCAGGCTCACCATCGAGGGATTATTGGCTGTCGAGTGTCGGTGGTGTAGGTCCTTTGTCCGAGCACGTCGCCAGACACGGAGATTAGTGATATCCGACATAGGAAATCCAATAGCCGGAATCTGGCGTTTGGCATGCCACAGCGCTTATGCTTAGCTCTGTACATCAATGGTTGAGCGCATCAGGTGGGTGGTAGAAAATATCTTAAAGCGCGATGAACCCTTTGGATCAAGTACCTATCCACATCCTTTAGCCGTACCTATGTATTTTGAGCAGCCAAAAGAAAAAAAGTTCGATGGCACCAGCAAAGCCTTATGCATTTGCTGTGCCTGGCCTGTGGTTATGTCACTTGCTGCGTATTTCGCATCTCCGCTTTCCACCTGGCTACACTACATATACAGATCTTTAGGTTAGAGACATCTTTTCAAGTGTTGTCTATAAGAGCATGGAAATACGATTATTCATCTGGGCACAGGGCATGGATAGGGCAGAAGCGTGCAGTACTAGGCATCTTTCGCAGCTATTCACCTCAATGAATTGCTCCTAGGTGATCAATGAGTCAGGTTAATTGGGTGATCGAGAGACAGTCTCCGGCAGCTTACGAATAGTTCGATGGAAACCCACCCACTGCAGCTAAAAAACACATCAGCTGTACGGTGAGTGAAGACAAAGACTCGTAACATTAGCGGCTGTTCCGGCGTTGCCCTTCTATGACCATGAATTGTGCAGCAGCTGATTCTGTTTACCCGTCCGGTCGTCATGGCGACGGTCGCATTCCAACAGGGCGCCGCCGCTGTACGATCAATGTCTACCGCCCCTGTATCGTGGCCTGAGGCATTCCTGGTCGACAAAGACGAGTGGAGGTGCGGCGCCGCGGTCGTGTCATACTGGCGGTGACCGGCGGGTGCGACAGAGGTGCCGCCGACCGCGGCACTGCGGCAGAGGACGGCAGACGCAGCTGGAGCCGGGGGCGGCAGACGATCACGACTGACGCAGAAGAGGTCTTCCGTCAGAGTCAAGGTGAGGAGGCAAGAGGAAACAAAAAACAAATGACGTAGAGTGACAAAACAGACCGACGACCTCCGGAAAACGCTTGTGGAGTTCAAGGAAGTCGTCCCACTCTAGAGCGATACCCAAGACCGGACGCAGACGAAGATCAGGATGTCGAAGAAGGACAACAGCTCCGACGACATGTCGTGGGTGTTCGACTCGCTGGTTGACTTCCTGCGCGGTCCCATCTGGAACATTCCCATGATCAACTTCATTGAGCAGAAGTCGATGATCTTCGAGCCAGGCGGTGAGAACCAGCGCGAGTACCGGCGCATACACGACGAGTACAAGAACCTGGTGGACTTCATGCTGGGCACCTACATGGAGGACATCGGCATCACGCCGGCGCAGTTCGAGTCGGCCTGCTGCAAGTCGTCCAACCGGATCAAGTCCCAGTTCCACCAGATGCTGTTCGAGCAGCTGTGGGCCGCGGACGACTTCGACATGTTCCAGCGTATGATGATCCGCACCAACATCGAGCTGCAGCTGCAGGCGCTGGAGCTGATCCAGCAGCGCTGCGGCCTGCTGCCCGCCAGCTTCCAGGCCGAGACCACCCAGGTCAGCGACGAGGAGAAGCGCGTGCTGGAGGAGGTGATGCGCCGCTCGGTGCTCGAACACCAGCAGCAGGAGGCGCGCATGGACCAGGAGACCCGGCAGCTGGAGCGGACGCTGGCAGAGACGGACGGAGAGAGGCGCCGCCTGGAGGCCGAGCGCAGCCGCGAGCAGCAGCTCATCCAGGAGACGCTCAAGCTGTCCGTCAGCGAGCAGCCGTCGGCCGGCGCCACCCCCATCCCGCCCGAGGCCAAGATCAGCGCCGAGGAGGTGGCCAAGCGGCAGGCCTACCTGCGCCAGCAGCGCGACAAGCTGCTCGCCATGAAGCGCACCGAGCGCCAGAAGCTGCTGGACAGCTCCGAGAAGCGGGAGGCCACCAAGCGGCCCAAGTCGTCGCGCGCGGCGCGCTCCGCCTTCGCCGGCAAGGTGGACGCCAAGACGCTGGAGATGCGGAAGCACCTGGCGGACGCCCTCCGGCGAGAGGTGGTCGACAAGAAGTAGCGGCGCGCGCGGCGGTGCTCGCTGCACGGTCGGGATGAGGAGGTGCCCGGATGAGGGAGAGTGTTTGCATCCTTGGGATGAATGGCTCGGCGCGCTTTGTGGATCGGTGTGTCTCAATGGTCACTGCTGCTTCACTCGGATGGCGAGCTCGTTGTTTTATGCCTAGGAGTTATTGACATAACATAAGTAAAGGTGCTTTGTAGTGCTTCTATGCAGACACGTAATAATAATTATCACATGCGCAGTATTTGTATCATGCTTTTTGGGGGGACGGGTAACGGGCGGATCGCGCTTAAGCTGTAAAACGTGTATTACGTGCATAGTTTTTGGCGTAGATTCTCCAATAACCTGTCAGTGTTCGATAACTATTTAACAAATAGCTGAGTATTTTAGGCCTGAAAATTGGCGGATATTTATCGAATTTCGACTCATTCATGAAGCGCGTTAAAAACGGAAGCTGAAGTCATCCAGCTAGCGCAGCTGACATTGTATGAATACTAGGGACGGGAGAAATTCTCGCACTTCCATGGTACTAACTATTACGCAAATGTCCCTCTGGAAAGGTAGCTCATGTTGGGATTCTCAATAGAAAATCACAATTCTAAAGAAAAGTGATTTTTGCTTTTGAAAATTCCCAACTCCCAACCTTCGGATATTCCACTCATGATACCTATTTGAATATAAGAAAGTCTTGAACCCTTCGGTAGAACAGTTTGGAAAAAGATATACGTGACTATGCAACGATACATCCTTCCCATTTACTTTTTTCAAGCATGGCGAATTCAGCCCCGACAATCGTAGGCATTTATGAGGAGCAAAGATAACAACAAGATTTGTTAATCGTCTCTTTGATAAGGCTGAAATACACTCTGTCGGCAGTCAGGAAATCGCATGCGAGAAAATAGGTGCAGCTATGCAATGCTATCAATACAGCAATCACGCTCACAGCAATCGCTTGAATTTATGCAAGACGCACGTGAGCCTTTTAAGTCAGCCTCAAAGTCTAAAGGCTAACTAATCAGGCGTTTTTTTAATATTTATTTTCTTTTTAACCCTCGCCGGCACAGGGGAGGGGGGGGGGGGTTGGTGCACCCCCTAAGGTTTCGCGAATAACTCGCGTAAAAAGCGGCCGATCGCGACGAAACTTTCAGCACCCTCGCATTGATCAATTTTACACCTAACCTTAAAGGGACCCTCCCACCTTAACATTAGTTTTGAGTTGAGATAGCCAAGTTTGCGGCCAGGCTCAGAAACCACCATTTATCCTGGTCGCAAACCCCGCAGCTTTATGGTGTTCAAGAAATTTCTTCCCTTTACTTGCAGGGTGGGACCAGCGTGGTCCCTATCTCTTAAAGGAAGACTGCCACCTTCAAAAAGTTTTCTCAGATCGGCCCATGATTTTTTCCCTGGATAAAACGAAATTTTAGAATTCACCTGGCAAGCTATCATCACGTGAATCGCGTAAAAAAATTATCGATTATCATAAATTATCAATCGGATAATGTCTAGCGACAATGTTGACACATCACTAGACTTCAAGGTCATAAGATATGGAAGCGGGTTTTGTCGCCATAAACGGCGCGCATGTTACAATTGAAATATACAATGATCCTTGCTTTGGTTATGTATGTCGTGTTTACGCTTTTGGAATTGCCTGTTTTAATGAGTTATGTTATCTATATCTTAAAATATTCCAATTCTGATTCATCTGATAGGTATATATATATACATGTATTTTGGCATGTGATATTAAAAGCTAGACTATTTCCAGGTTTATATGAATAGTGATAGACTAAGTTGAGACAAGTGCTATTTGAATAACAAATACCTATGGTATTGGAAAAATTGTCATGAATCTGATAGTGTTTCCATTCCAGCACCAATTTCCCAGTCTTCAAAGTGTGGCAGGGAGCTCAATCCGTGACAAGATGTTTGGGACAGTCAAAACATTGCCCCAAGCGGAATGCCGAGACCTGGGCAACCCAATTCCTTTCATGAGGGCCCCTCATGAATATGATGAAAATGATATAATGATGAAGTGCATCATTTAATAAGTATGAGAAGCGAAATGAATCAATGCTGTGACAAGCTTTCAGCTTCTGCCCCAGATTTCCTTGCTTCTGCCCCAAAATTCCTCAAACCTGCCACAACCTGTGGTGTGTGCCCTGACAACATATTGTCAAGACCTGCCACGTTTTGCAGACTGGCCCATTTCTGTATGCCTACCTTCCAGGTGAAGATGCCTGGTGAGCGAGGGCGCGAGGGAGAGGACGAGGACGGGTGAGGAGAGGAGGTGGTCGAGGGGCAAGAAGAATTCTCAACTTTTCACCCACCGCCCAGCCCGAGCCCCAAAGGTAAATAACTGAATGTTTCTTACGATGCGATGTGAAAGTATGAAACAATTGTTAATATTTATTTAATTGCCATGTGTGGCCTAGCCTTTATCTAGGTTGCTAGCCAATATATATTTTAAGGTGATTATTGCAATTAAAATTATCATGTACCTACCTTGAAAAGTCAGGTACACTACAAGCAGAAATAATACAACCTAATCTAACCTTACCTAACCTTACCTAATGTAAGATAATCTCACCTGACTCATTGTGTGGTTTGGTGGAAGTTATAAATGTTTTGTGAAAAAAATATGGTTAGTACACAAAACATTTCTAAGGATGTGTTCTTTCTAATCATGTTTTAATTTTGTGAGTCTCTTCATTTTCTAAAGAGTGCAAAAGGAGGTATTCAACTCTGCTCATGATAATTCAAAAGGAATTCTTAAATACAATGCACCCATAAATCACTGATTTTCACTTTGTGGTTCATCAGAAAACACATTCAACATCATTGTCTTTCTATAATGAAAGATGGCACTAAAACATGAACCACTTTTCTTTCAGAAAAGTGGTGCTAGGTGAACTTGATACAGGTGAACTTATTACTTAATACTTAGGACACATGTCTTGACACAAGTCTTGATCTTATCGTGGGAGGCGGCTCGGGTTGGAGATACACGTACACTGGTTATTAGGGAGACCATTAGGTACCATTAATGATTTTACATTGCTGTGCGATACGAGGTTGTACCTAGTGATGTTGCGTCATTTGTGGACTTCCCCCCTGCGAGTTGTCTGGTCCTAGGATTTCATGCACATCTTCCTTCACTTCAAACTGGGATTTACCGGTGACGTGTTTTCTCTGTGTGCGCCAGGTGTACCAGTGGAAGCTCCTGCACCACGTCTTTAAGGACCACCTTGTGATGCTGAACCCGGTGCACCTTTCCCTACAAGTGCACCGTCTGTACGGCCACATTCGCATATGTATACAAACAGTTCGAGAATGACGTCTACAGCCCTCACTCTGTCGTCGCCAAGAAGATTATGGAGTCGTTTGGCCGTAGGAAGGCAGCTGCGGCGGCGGCCGCCACCGGACAGCCCATCAAAATCAACAACGAGATCACAATTCACAATCATCCCTCACACGGGCTCGGGCGGTGCGGCAAAGGGCTCGTCTCAGGCCAGCTCGACGCCGGTGAAGCGGCGGCGACCGGAGTCGGCGCCGGCTCCCGTGGAGCGTGAGTGCGAGCTGTGCGAGCATCGCGCGCTGCCGTGGTGCAGCCGCGGCCGCTGACGGAGCCTGCACCAGGGCCGGCCAGAGCTCGAGTTCACGCCGCTGATGCGCGACCCCAAGTGCGCCACCTTCGTCACAGAGGAGATCTGCGAGCAGCTGCGCCGGCGCGCCGCCGCCGAGGACTCCGACAGTGGGGTCGAGGTGGAGGTGAGCGACGCGAAGGACGGCGCGGCCGGCGGCGCCCCGTCCGCCTCCGGTGGCAGCGCGCTCAGCAAGCTCAACGAGGAGACTCACGCCTATTGCCGCGGCGCGGCCCCGCCGGCTGGTGACCGTCCGGAAACCCAAGCCGTTCATGGGTGACTGAGTGAAACGAATGGACGTGCATGTGCGTTTTTGTTCTGTGTATGCGTGCGTTTGGAAATGGCGTCTCTATGTGCGTGCTTGTTTTGTAGAAGCGCTAGCGGTGCCGACGGACCCAGCGATGGCGCGGAGGGCTTCGATGTACCGTGTGTCTTTGATGTTGATGCATTCTCGTGTTTTGTTGGTCGCGCGCCCAGCAGCACCGTGTACATAGCCGGGGGCGTTCCTGCTCGACGCCACGTTCTGTTCGTTGTATCTCAATGCCAGCTTTTTGCTCCAAGTCCCGCTCGTGGAACACGCGACTCGCTCGATTCAAATAATAAATATACACTTTATTTCTCTGACAACCTGATGTCCTCTCTCTCCTCTCTCCTCTCTCCATATAAAAAAATACGGCCACGGTGAGTAGGTGCCGGCCGGCGTTAACTGCCTCCGGCCGGACGGTTCTCAGTTGATATGTGACAACAGTTAGGAATGTAACACCGCCATAGTACCCTCCATCACTGCCGGGCGCGGCGGTCCCCGCACACAGGACCGGCGGGGGGGGGGGGGGGGTAGCGACCGCCGCCAGCTGCTGGCCGCCCATCAGCTGCAACACCAGCTGCTGCAGATGGACAAGCTGCTGGCGGTCCTCGTTTAGCGCGATCAGCTCCTGTTCGCGCGCCGCCGACACAGCGTTCACAGCGCCGCCGCCGATGAATTGCTGCAGCCGCGCGCGCAGCTCCTTTCGCTCTCTGATGAGACTGAGACTGAGCCAGCCAGAGCCAGAGTCGAGACTGAGCCAGCTGAGTCTTGACAGACCGGACAACACACAAGGCGCCAAAAACGAAGCAACATGATTGGTCGACACATCGAACCGTCTGTCACAGCGACTGTGCTTGGACCACGGCCATCCCGCAATAGTGACAAGACAAGGCATTATCCTGAACACGCGCAGAATCACGCCCAAAGTCAATCGACACACCAAGAAACGTAAAAACATGCAACGGAACGAGAACTAATTTATTGAAATTAATACACAACCCAACACTAGTCAGAAACGCAGCGATACCATTCAGCGTCCTTGGACATGAAAAGAAAATCATCTAAATACGCCAAACACCTGACGTTAAATCTCGACTCTACAAGTTCACTGAAAGCATCTGTTAGGTACTGCATCTCCGAAGGAGATGCAGTACCTAACTGCATCTCCTTCAGTACCTCATAATGCAGTACCTAATAATGGTACTGCATCTCTACCTAATAATGCAGGAGATGCAGTACCTAATAGGGCCCATTGGTAACAGAGAAAAGGTATAAGCACGTTTTACCATCATACAAAACACCAAAAGGACGTGTGGAACGTGCGCGAGAAATGTGATGAAATCCATCATTTAAATCAATCTTGATACCGGTATAAACCCCAAAACGATAACTCTAACGCATCCCCAATAGACGGCAAAGAGCACGGCCGGCACGGCAAGAGGGGCGTAAGCACTGACAAATCGTATACCAGTCTGGCCACAGTCGCACTTTTTGGCACAGTAGCAGGCCAACTAAACAGCGACTCGCTCGCGACCGGTGCCGACGGCGATGAAGATTCGTCGTCACCAGCGTCCTCCCCAGGCGCGCTGCCGACGGGGCACGCCGCCACCGGCCCGCCAGCATCACCGTCGACCGATGATGTCTTCGCTACCGCGCCCAATTGAGCCTCATCGGCTACGCCCCCTAGGGGGCTGGAGGGAACAACGACGACGACGACGACGAAGAAGAGCCGTTCCCCTCAGTGGCGGCAGCAGAAGAGACCGCAGGCGGCGGGGACCCGGAGCAGGGCACAGAGACGTTGCCCCCCGCCGCGCCTCAAACGCCGACCTAAGCCGGACGTCTCGGCGAGCCGGGCCCGCGGCGCGCGGCGGAGCGCGCAGGCTGGACGGCCAGGCGGGGCGCGGGCGTCGCCAGCTCCGCCGTCGGGTGAGCTCCGGAAATGATGATGGAGAATGATGGAAGGATGATGTCATGGAGCCGCGGATGCTGCTCCATGGCAGAAATCACCTCTGCAGCTGCGCCGTGCGGATGTTGGTGGCGAACGCCCCCTGGGCTCTGAGTCAGCTGGCTGGTGGCTTGCGCGCTCTGTGGGAGAGCAGGACAAGGTGTAAAATGCTGCTACGGGACACGTAAGCAGATGTAATACCTCTGCTCGAGCTACCACATGCAGATAAGACTAAAGTCTGTTCCATTTCAAGCCTGCAGCCGAAGTACCATGCTGTAAACAACACATGCTTTATGTGTGCATAGCTCCTACATTAACCCTCGCCCTGGCAGGACATTTTTCATAACACGGCCTGGCAGGGGGGGGGGGGGGGTGATGCGACCCCCCTCGCGATTGGCTCCTATGGCACCTAGAAACACCAAATTTGGTAGGTAGGTGGGCCCCCTGGAGTTCTCGCCCCTGCGCAAATTTGGTTGCTCTAGGTCAATATTTAGGGGGGTTTTGGGGGGTATAAATGTAAAAATTTTGCTGCAGTATGCTCGAGGCACGTCCATGGTCAAAATAATAGATAAAGCCCAATTTGAATAATTCTAGCAGAAAGACACCAGAATCACCCCTCAAGCAAAAAAGAAAAGTTTGTCATAAATAGGTTCCCAGTTCTCACCTGCTTCCACTCCACCGCCGTTTACCAGCTCGCAGCTGGTGTCCGTGCGGTGTTGACACCAGCGGCGCAGGTGACGTCGCCGACGTCTCCGGCACTGGCAGAGTCGACGCCACGGCCGTCGCTGGATGGTCCAGTGCCGCGGATGGTCCAGCTGGTGACGGCGTCACGGCCGTCGCTGGATGGTCCAGGGCCGCGGATGGTCCAGCTGGTGACGGCGTCAGGGGTTCCGCGGAACTCGCAGGTGACGTCGCCGTCGTCTCCGGCACTGGCAGAGTCGACGCCACGGCCGTCGCTGGATGGTCCAGTGCCGCGAATGGTCCAGCTGGTGACGGCGTCACGGCCGTCGCTGGATGGTCCAGTGCCGCGGATGGTCCAGCTGGTGACGGCGTCACGGCCGTCGCTGGATGGTCCAGTGCCGCGGATGGTCCAGCTGGTGACGGCGTCACGGCCGTCGCTGGATGGTCCAGGGCCGCGGATGGTCCAGCTGGTGACGGCGTCACGGCCGTCGCTGGATGGTCCAGGGCCGCGGATGGTCCAGCTGGTGACAGCGTCACGGCCGTCGCTGGATGGTCCAGTGCCGCGGATGGTCCAGCTGGTGACGGCGTCACGGCCGTCGCTGGATGGTCCAGGGCCGCGGATGGTCCAGCTGGTGACGGCGTCACGGCCGTCGCTGGATGGTCCAGTGCCACGGATGGTCCAGCTGGTGACGGCGTCACGGCCGTCGCTGGATGGTCCAGTGCCGCGGATGGTCCAGCTGGTGACGGCGTCAGGGGTTCCGCGGAACTCGCAGGTGACGTCGCCGTCGCAGGTGACGTACCAAGGTTCTGAAATCACAGTGCAGAGAGAGGTTGGTGAACTACCAGAGTGTTTACCCGTGCCCTGCTGGGGGGGGGGGGGGGGCGTGCCAATAATGTATTTTTGTTCCAATGGGGCGGATTTGCAAGCCTTCGCCCCATCAAAAGACGGCACAATTACAAAACAACGCACAACGTCATAACGTCACAGCCCACAGGCACTCATCTCCATACTATTGACTGACGCACCACCCCAAGGTCACATGCACTTGGCCCATGCCGAAAAAAGATATTATAACATTAGAACACATTGTGTCACATTATAAGCGTCCTTCTCTTTGTCAGTGGCGCCCAGCTCTGCACCATATACCGCCCCATGGGTAAGCCGCCTCTCACTCAGACAAATAATAGAACCACCCCACCGGCACGCGATTACGCGTTCGAGCAAAATATGGCCGTCCGCACCAGCTGCTTTCGCGTCTAACACTACCGCTGGAATTCTCTCGGCCACGGAGCGCGCTTACCTTCGAGGGTACAGCCTCCGGCTGGAGGAAGCGATTTGGGGTGTAATCGCTTGATTTCTCAAATTCTTGGTAATAAAGCAGGTGGTTTCTCTGTGCATTTACATTTGTGCCACAATAAATGGCGACAGCCTACATAGGTTGTTACGAGCAAACAAGCGAAGCGAAGTCTTTTCAATACTAGATGCAGGCAGCGCTCGTGCGTTGCCTTGGGCCAGAATTGGAGGGATGGTGCCGAGAGCATGCCGGGCCAGGGAAAAAACAATAAGTTAGGTCTTGGGGGTAGACTGAAAGATAACCGAGACCTTTTGAGACTGTAACGAACTGAAACGTCTAAAGAATTATTGAAAGCACGTGAAATTGATATGAAAATCTACCTACAGTATAGGATATGAATTCATTGCACGTGCAAAGTGAATGTCCCAAGCACCCCGGTTCATTCATTTTCATAACATACTATAGAGTGTGTCTAGTTCTAGCAGTGTGCCAATTTTGTGTCGATAGCTGAAAAATTCCCGAAGTCAGAGGACCCCTTGTCAAGAAAAGCTACAGTTCTCTCGCTCGTTCGGTCTTCGCCCAAAAGGCGTTTATCTGGTAAAATATAACCCTCATGATACTGCATTTCAAATACTGCAATGACGGTGGCGAGATCACATACCTGTGTAGTTTCCATTTTGCACCCTGCTTATGTTGGGGCTTGTAATCAAAGTGTTGCTTGCATGTCTTGACACAACAACGGTTTACCATGTTGCTGCTGTAAAAGAAAAGCTGTATTTGTCATTTAAAGTTGTTATACAATTAATATTAAGAGGTGCAGCATGACAGCTTTCAGCATGTCTGAAAAACGTGGCTGCCACGTTTTTCAGACTGAGTCAGGTCAACGGTCGCTGAATGGTGATTGACAAATACTAATTTTTTATAACTATTTATAATTATAAGCATTCATATTTAAATTATTTATTCCTAGTTTGGTCATAGCCCAGCTCACTTCAACTGTTTATTGGTCGATCAATATTTGGATTTGCGCCTAGTAGTTTCCCAGTCTGCAAAGCATTGCAATTTTGACAAAAGCTTGTCGGTGCAGGCTTGTTCAGCTGGTGCTGATCTGATGCGGCGTGGTGCGGATTTGGCTGGTAGGGTGCAGATCTAGTGTAGCCCAGTGTCCCAAGATTTGGGTGGAAAGTGAAATCCTTGTGAAATTGAATAGTCCACTCGGTCCACTCTCACCTTTAATTTTCCAGGACAAGTTGCCCTCCCAACTTTAACAACTAAGATCATCCGCATGTACATTTGCTGGCTGGCTTGTACCTACATTCAAATTCCATTAAATCATTGCAGCTCCCACATCCTGTAACATTCACATAGAAAATGGTGATCATGTTTTCATTCTTCTTTGTATCTTTCTGACTGTCAATTTTCCACTTTCAGTCCTCTTTGTAGTGAGGAATTTTACCCTCGAACACCCAAGCCAAAATATCCCTAATTTTGGGACACTGGTGTAGCACATTGCAGATTTGCTTGTTGATGGACATGACAGACCAGACAAGATATATGAGGAAAATTCAAAACCGGAAAATCCACCCCAATGTGGGCTGAGGGTAAAAGATCCGCACAGAACCCAAAAATGACCAGCAGTTGCACACTCATTTAAACCCAGGGGACACTGAATTACACATAAAAGCTCCAGCAATGTTTTTCGATTTGCCTCATCAATATCGTCTTGTCCGTCAAGTCCATCGCCAAGCCAAATCTGCACTGTGATCCACTAAATCCGCACACCAAGCGAAATCCGCACCACGCCGCAACAGCTGAACAAGCCCGCACCGGCCAGATCTTGTCGAAATTGCCATACCTTGCAGACTGGCAGTTTCCAGCATGGGTAGTTTCCCCAAGTCAATTGTATAAATTTGAATTTTGGCATGCTCATCCTCAATTGCATGATTAGGTATTCACTATGCCAGCATTTGTATTTATAACTTCAAGTTCAAAAAAGAGATAATCGATCTTTTTCCAAAACTAAGTGCACACCCGTTACTTGTTACTTGAGAGATTCCGGCACCGTTGTATATCAACTTACCACGATGAAAACCATTAAATATTAGCGCACAGAGACCGTAGAAATGAGGATGAAACCACTTTCAGCATCGCCTATGAATTAGCAATACATTTGACACGTGCCCCGAAAAAGTCTTCAATTTTATCGCGTCGTGTTTGAAACAGAGGTGGAAACATGCAGAACATGGTAGCAAACCAAAAATCCTTTACCACTTACCTTTGTCATAGGGTCTGCTCCCTTCACTAGTGTTGAAGAGATGGGACCTCAGGTCTTCCCTTTACCACTTCCCTTCAAGTAAAAAAAAGCATTGTCTTCTACCACAAATTTGCTAATTAACAATTTATCGCCTTTGAATTGAATATTTGTGAATAAGAAAAGATAAATAAAACCCTTTTGACGAGTTTTTCCTTAAAATTTGTATAAAATGCTCTTAATTAAAATCGACAAAGTTTTTCCTTTCCCTGAAATCCTTCACAATGCTAAGAGATCGGCCTTTCTTCATGCTAGTATACTAGGAAACCTTCAACATTAATTTGCTAAATGTACGTCTTTGCTGTTGAAATTAATATTGGTATTACGAAATTTGTCACAACATTCAAGAAAAATAACAATGAATCTCTATGATGCCAAAATGTAATGAAAAGTGTCATACATGCTATCGTAGTGATGAGCATTTTCACCGGCGAAAAAGATGGCATCAAATGGAACTTTGGGAGGCGATTGCGCGTTACAGGGTGAGGATAACGGAAAATGGACTGGACATCTGTGGTGAGGGCGGGCACCTCTTACGAAAACCGGTAAGTGAAAAAAAGGTGACAGTCTACCTTTAACCATTACGGGAATCTGATGACGTCATCAGGCTTTTGAACGTCCGTTAAATGTTTGACTAAAACGTTTTGTAGCACGCGGTGGTATATGCTGCTTTGCGCGCAACAAATGCCGCACTTTCAAATAAAGTCGCTAGGAACAGCGGAGATCCCGAAAAGTAAACAAAAGTAAAAGTCTAATATCTTGAAAACCGGTGAATATTTTTCGATGAAATTTGGTAGATATTCGTTTTTGCTCTTTCTGAACCGAGCGACATCACTTTCATGCCAATTCATTAACTTTTTTGAAGGTGGGAGGGTCCCTTTAAACTAGAGTTCTGCACGGCTGCAATTTTCCACAGCCTAGCCGCCCCGCAGCCGTGGCTCCACAGCCACAGCCGCCCACAGCCGTGGCAAACTGTGGGCAGCCAGCCGTCAGCCGGCCGTGGATACTTTCAATGAAATGCAACCAAATAGTATATAATAAGTTGTTTTTAGTTGAAACATATAGCCAAAAGCACATTGCAATGGGCTATAGATTCTCAAGCTCATGAAGCATCATAGGTTAAGTGGTTGTGTATCTGTCTTTAGGCCAAAGGCCTGAAGCCTGATGCGCAACGCATGCCTACACAAGCCCTTGCAAGGGGTTAAGAAAGATGGGTAGGTAGGTACCTACATCAATGGAAAACATAAACAACGAATCAGAATAGAAGCACTAACAGTATAGACATCTAATGCCAAATCCTGAAGCATGGTTGTGGGACAGAACAACAGACCCTGATGCTTTTCATTATCAATGTTAGTATGAAAAAATGAAACTGAAGTTGATGGACTGTCAAACAGTGATTGTCTAGTCAAAACTCTTGCTTCTTTCTTACCTTGCATATTTTCTGGGGTGTGATATGCCAGGCTTGAAGCAGCCTTCTGAGCAAGTCTCAAACTAATTTGATATGCAAGGCATCAAAACACTAATGAGCATCCAAGAAAGAAAAACATTCATCTATTTTGATTTTTCCAAATAATGATCTTCGCTCAAATCCCCAAGGACGTGCAAGCCACAATTGCCTCTTTCAATCAAAAATTTTACTTGAGTTTAAATGACGTCAATAGCAAAGAAGTGACAATAAATTGTTTTGTGTCACTATAAACAGCCATAAAAAATATTATTAATAAATAATAATGCTGTACAGTTAAAAACTTGCTCTCAAACAAAGAATCAGTATCAAATTTTTACATTTTTAGAAGAATACGTCATTTTATTAGTAAAGTCAACAGCTCGCGTAAGAAATATTGTGTTCAGGGTTTTTCACCGTCATGTAAATTACGTGTTCAGGGTTTTCACCATCATATGAATTAACCGTAAGTAAGGTTCATGCTCAGTGCTCACTTATAATATAATTCCATTGGCTTCGTTGATCAGCATTTTCTGTTAGCGGTCACTCACACACCAGTTAGAACATAAAGCGCCAGTTTTGTATTATGTAATTGGACTTGCCGAAAATCCAGAAATACATCCATGGATACATCTAAGAGTTATTTTAGATAATATTTTATGAAGCCTTTACCTGCCTTTACCTAGGCGTGATTTCTTTTTCTATTACCTGAAAGAATTATTGAATGCTCGTCTTCAATAGCTGTAAGGTGTTCTCCTAATGACCAGGTGAGATTGGTTTGAGAGGGATGTGACAATGCAACATGTTGCATTTTCTGAAACTGTCAAGCTCTTGATGATGAAGGAACAATTGGTACCTATAATTAGTATTCTGTACCAGAGTGCAAACTCCCCTACAGCAAATGGTAAAATCATTACAGGTTTTCAAAGGCTTCACCACTTTCAATGTTGCTGGGCATGATTTTTGCAGTCTAGACTGCTTATCAGAATGTAAGATTAAGGATTTAAAATTAAATATTTGAGTACTTAAGATTGAGCTTGAAATCTCACAGCCGTGGCCACAGCCGTAGCCGTGTTCTTGGAGATATTTGCAGCCGCCCCGGCCCACAGCCGTGGGGCTGCAGCCAGCCGCGGCTGCAGCCGGCCGGTGCAGACCTCTACTTTAAACCCTCGCCGGACCTATTGGTTTTCTACATACGTGCCGGCCGAGGGGGGGGGGAGGGCGGGTACGACCCTCCCCTCGCCGTTTCGCCCCTGGTGGAGCTAGCGCGTCGCGGAAAAAAAACGAGCGTGTGCGCCTTTACGAGACGCAGAGATTGGGACCCGATTTTAAGGTCATAGGTCAACCGGTGACCTCTGAGGTCAGGTCAAGTGCCCCAAGGTACGGTTCAGTTTTTGGTGAATAACTTCGCAAAAATGGCCGCAGAGCCACGATTTTGGCAGCATCGTGTTCGCCTCGCTCAGGCGCGTCGAATGATATACTTTTTGTTCGGGTCAGGTCAACTTAGGGTGTTGACCTCAGGTCAAGGTCAGGTCAGCACCCCCAGGTCACGAAGTTGGTCAAAAGAGGTCATTTCGCATATCATTTGATTCGGCAGGTCTTCCTGAGTCCATTGGTGGCTTTCCCGACTCGCTAGCTCAATTTGATCGAGAGTTATTGACGAAAAACTAATATGACCTTGATGACGTCATAAATGACGTCACGCAAGGTCAACATTGCAAAAGTGACGCATCTAACCTTCCAAGGAGTGCATCAAATCACGATTCTGTGTGCTTGAGATAGTTGGAAATCGTTCCCGGCGCCAGAATAGCAGTTTTCATTTTTCCCCATTGACTTATAATGGTGAGGTCACGAAAATGACCTGACCTCATATGACCTTTAGGAAAAATCCGAGATATACAAGTTGTGAAGCTCATAATGGATACTAGATCCTGCAAGTTTCATTTCTCTGTGACATCTTCTCTGGCAGTGAGGGCGTTGCGAAGTTGCGACATCTGAAGACCGTGCAGAGGTTCACTTATGACGTCATAGGTCAGTGACCTGACCTGACCCAAAAATTCGGTTGGTGTCAAAAGATCTGGCTTGAATCAAAGGTCAGATATGCTAAGTTTCAGCTCTCTATCGCCAGCGTATTCGGAGCTATCGCGAACAAAACCCTATGGGGGGCGGCACCCGCCCCCCCCCCCCCTCGGCCGGCGAGGGTTAAAATTTCATGACCCTGACTTAAATGACCTTTGACCTGTGACCTCTTTTCCGAGACCATGTTTGGCCGGAATCGCGATTCCGCGTATGTCGGCTCGCATTTGCCGCGCGTTTGCAAGCTTTTCGTGGTTTCAAACGTTCAAACATGTGAGCCTGATGATGCTCCTATGCATTAGGGTGGGTGTCAAGGTCGCCTGAAGGTCAGGTCAGGTCATTGATCCCTTTGGTGACCTCGGTTCACTTTTTCGAGTTTTACATGTTTCTTTGCCAGTTTTTGGAGCTGAATTTGAATTTAGCAACCATTTGAACATTTATGAAGTAGTTTTGGTGCCTTCGTAACATGTTACGAAGCTGTCAGAGGCGGATGACAGGTACTACGAATACCCGTCACGACCCCTACCGGTTGACCTGACCTGACCTCGGCTGACCTGGTCTAAACGCTTAACGACATCATCTGTGATCAAAACTAACACGATATTCGTGATCAGCACCCCGGAAAACCCCTTAGCAGCCACACTTTACGACTTATAACAGGTCCCGATATTTCCGATTTTTGGGTCATTGACCTGACCTGGAAGGTCAACCGATGACCTAGAACCTTAAAATTGGGTATCATTGGCTTCCTCTCGTGACGGGCAACACGCTAGTTTTTTCCGCGAAGCTCTAGCTCCATCAGGGGCCAAACGCGAGGGTGGGGTCGTGCCACCCCCCCCCCCCCCACCCCCCCCCCCTTGTGCCGTCGAATGTCTCAAAACGGCCTGTGCCGGCGGGAGTTAATCTAGAAAACAGTTGAACCAATTACGCACAACGTTGTTTGAATAGTGCCAGCACGAGTCAAAAGCGATATATCTATGCATGTGGGTGTTAACCCGCGCATGACTGGGGGGGGGGGCTCTACAGAGCCCCCTCCCGTTTTGGGCAATATCTTCTTAACCCGCGCCCCACTGGGGGGGGGCTATTTATAGCCCCCCCCCCCCTCCCGTTTTCCTGCAATAACTTCCAAACCGCTTGACGTATCGGCGCCAAACTTTCAGTACCTTCGGCTGCATCAATTTGACACCTTGTGTCAAAATTTGAACTTCGTACCTACCATAGGTCGGCCGGAAATG